TTGGGGGGGGGGGAGGGGAGGATTTCAGGCATAACAACTTTTATTCACAGCCACCACCACTTTATTCCCTCTCTGTCTCCCTACCCCTCTCTCCCCCTCCCCTCCCATACACACACAAACACACACACACACTCACACACACACACACACACACACACACACACACACACACACACATACACACACACACAAGCTGCTGGAGTATTTAGGGAGGAAGTAAATCGACTATAAATATACAGGCTGTGAAAATCCTTTAATGGCAAACAAATATATGTGAACACCAGCACCCAGGAGGGCTATTACTTTGATGTGTCGTCTCTCGTTTTCCTTGTTGCTTTTTTTCTCTTTCCCTTGGTTCCAGAGCTGCTCATTCAATCTCACTATTTTGTGTCAAGTACAGTGTTAGCTCACTCAAAGGAATCTGGCTACTAGGTAAAACGTTAAACCTGACATTGAAAGGCTTTGAGCTCGATTCTTCTTTTCCACGTGCAGGATACTTCCACATGGAAAAGGAAGCTTTTCTTTTCTCAGCAGCAAGAAAAGTATTTAATTGGTAATTGGTGAGAACAAAACGTCATTTTGTTGTAATTGATAAATGTATTCGCAAGTTTTCGACATATGTATGGCTTTAATATTCCTTCAAATTGCTATGCCTTTTAAGATGCGGAACATTCGAATTCAACTTTGCTCGCGATGGGACTGTGCCAAGTAAGCAGGAAACCTTGAAGTAGCTTGAGCCGTTCACCAAAGAGGGTGCATAACTTTGAACTTTCACTCGGCCTGAATTAAAGATTTGAGCCAAGAGTACTTCACAGATGTTTGTTTAACCGAGAAACTCTTCGCCTGTCCAACACGATACCAGAGTAAATGATACTAGGATTCCTTGAAGGTTAAATGAAAACATCGAACTCTATGGAGAATCAATAACGCCTCGGTATTCGATTTGCTAAGTTTTGTTCTTCAAGTGATAATAATATTATTATCTTCGCACTTTTCTTCTCATTTCGCCCCAAGCTCCTCTGAGTTTTATTTGTTTCTCTGCTGTTTAGTAGGGCACGTGATGATTAATTGAGAGTGTGATAATATCATTACTAGTGTTTGATGTCACTTCTATCGGTGTATGAATGGCAGCATCGCGTGTGTGCCATCATTGAGTTATTTTTAACTTAATATTATAATATGTAACATGACGGTGGTAGTAATAATACTATTGTGTGTTCACGCATTGCTTCCCCGAAGTGACGTGTACTTATGCCATCCATTTTTCCCTAACTTGTTTTTGACACCCCTCTTTTTCTGTATGCGTTTCTGTCTGCCAGCACGATCTATCAAATCGCGACATGTTGTCACACGAATGACTCATGTAGAGATGCCGTGACCTTGCTAGTACACTGACATTTTGTTCTTTTATTTTCGCTAAGTGCAATTATTCAAACTCAAGGGGCAAGCTGGAGTGCCAGGGGGTCATAGTTCGAATCGCTCTTCAAGTCATATACTCCATGATGAAAGGGAGGGCACCATAAATCTACGAGGGTGAACAGCGTAAGAGTTTTATTATATTTATTCTGTTAAAATGGGATCATTTCTAATCTGAAAGATTTGTATCGAGACTTAGTGTTGTTGGGATCAAAGCGTGTTGTTGTGTTAAAGGGGCGTGTTTTGTTTGAGTAAGAGCTTAGGAGCTTATCAGAAAATACTGTTTCACTTTTGTATTTACTTTACAAGATTTTGAGATGAGCAATTTATATACCTTTTTTTAAAACTTGTACAATTTATATACCTTTTTTTAAAACTTGTACAATTTGTTATTAGAAGTCACGTCCCTACAAAAGCTTAGTTGAAATCTTTAAGGTATTTATAGTCCGTTAGTTACCGTGGAAAGACACTGTAGTTTTTAAAAATGTTAACTGTGTCTATGGCGTAGGTGGTCAAGTGGTTAGGCTACTGGACTTGTAATCCTGAGGTTGGGGATTCTGGGGTTCGAGCCACAAACCCGACGTTGTGTTCTCGGGAAAGACACTTTACACCAATTTTCCTCACTTCACCCACGTGGGAATGTACCCAGCCATAGACAGTGAAATATCTTGTCAGTATGTCAGTGTGTTAGCGCCTATAAATTGGCAGCTTGCTCTGTATGCTGCCTAGGAAGTTGAGATTGTTTCAGAATGCTATCAGGTCTGCTGGGGTAATAGTAAAGACTGTATTTAACATAGAGCTCGCTGTTGAGCGGGAATTTGCGCTACACAAATGCTATCTATTATCTATTATTATTAACTGTTTCTGATTTAGTGAGTCATTCGTGGGCACATGCACCGAAATACAGCAGACATATTATAATGCAGGTTTGGTTCTGTGGGTGATGGAGCATCTTGGGGACAGGGGCAGACCTTTATCACTGAAGTCAGGGAGGAATGCTGGTTTCCCAAATTTTCCCATACTCGTATATTCGAAAAGCAAGAAAAAGTCGCTAAATTGGCTTGAATGGATTCTTTATCAAATTAATACATAAAGTAAAAGGAACTGTCATAATTTAAACTCGACGATCGTGATATTTCATGCCCTTGGAAAAACAGCATCATACGTAACCGAGTATGTTCTTTATCTTAAGCACTTTTTTCTATGAACATCGCCTTTTGGCATCAGGGGACGCAACATTAACGACTATTGAATCAGCTTTCATTTAGAAACATGGAGCAATTGTTGCGTAGCGGGGTTTTTGTTTGTGATTTGTGTGTGTATTGTGTGTGTGTGTGTGTGTGCATGTGTGTGTGTGTGTGTGTGTGTGTGTGCGTGTGTGTGTGTGTATGTGTGTGTGTGTATGTGTGTGCTTTAACTTGAACAAGTACCGTGTATTCCTTATTGCAAACTACCTTGCACTATAGAGATTAGTGTCCAATTTATCTA